AAATCAGTAATTTCATATTAATTCTCTATACAAGCTTTAAATGCAAAGCTGACTAAAAAACCCAGCATTTCACTTTTTGGTCTTCTGTGATAACCTCAGTAAGCTAAGGAAATACATAAATAGCTTTGAAAAGTAAATGTTACTGGTGAGCTTGTCATGCACAGCTGTCCATACCGATTTACGGTAACTAGCCCCGTAAAAACTTCAAATGATTCTCCAAAAAGTACTTGGATTTATTTTGCTGGAAGTCGTAGGCCCTGTTACAACTAGGGTCTTTTTGTGCTAAAGGCTCAATGCACTTTTCAAAGACTCTGCCTTTCCAAAAGTTGTTGACTTCAAGTTGAGCTATTTTGCTATGCAGTAACTTCTGGGATATGGAAAAATGTTAGGCCCTCGCTAGGTCAGTCAAAAGCAGTAACAGTTTTGGAGATTCTGTTTGAAATGACTTGACAGTTTGATATTTGTGGGCGAGACTTTACCAGTGGAGCACATGGACGGTCCTTTTGAAAATCTGGTGCTTGCTTCTCATGCAGAAAGCTTGTGTTTTTCCTGTAGTTTTCTCACTTGTGTAAAAGCAAAAAGGAAAGAATAGGAGATGATTAAGATCTCATCATTAAAAGTGACTGTTTTGCTTTGCCGCAGACTTTTTGTTGCATCATCTCCCACACTGTTCTTCAGAGGCCTGTTCTTCTTACCAAGCAAGCCCAAAGTTACCGCTCAAATAAGTCTTCTCATTCCCAGTTCTCTGTCTTCCCTAATATAACCCCTCACATGTTGGCATTGCCCACGTACTCTAATTCCTCTCCTCACCTTTATTTGAATGTTTTGGAAAAATTTTTAAGGCTTCTGAGCTGGGTAAAAAAGGGTGAATGGACTTTCTCAGGGATTGCAGAAGAGACTCTTGGCTTGAGGCCAATACTAGAAAAATTGGAAGTTCATACTCGAGTCATGGGGATGCTAGAGCAGTTTGGAGTGACTCCAGATTTCCAGGAGAATTTCAGGAATGGTACGGTGTGAATGTGCCTATATATGTGTTTATATATATTCCTTGCAAATTGCAAAGCTTGTCTTGGCTGAATTTTTTTCTTTCCAAAGCTGGCTTGAGGTGCAACTCTGTCAAAGAAAGTTTTAGCCCAGACTGTTAAGTTCAGCAGCAGAAGGCAATACTGTGTGAAGAAGTTAAGCACTTCTGTAAGTGATGTATAATAACCGATATTTGATTTGTGCTTGTGCTCCTGTGTAGATGCTGCAAAGAAGCAGCGGAAATTCATGCTCCTGCAGCAGCGCAGTGGGTAATGCATCTGAACTCAGCATTTCAAAAAGACCTGGAATTAGATGTTTTCTGAAAATATTTGCAATTTAACTTTTATCTTGTGCTATTTTTTTAAATAACCCACAAACATTAAAAGGTTTAGCAAAACTTGTCAAATACAATTAGATACAACAGCAATCCCTTATAGTTGGACTAATGCTTACACTCAGATTTGCAGTGTGGTGTTTTAGGGAAATACAAAAACTCTGTTTGTCTGAACTTTGTGAACTGAAGCAGCAGTTTGCTGGTATGTCCAGCAGTCCATTATGGCACACCTGAAACAGTGTTTAATCTTAGATAACACATTAAAGAAAGAGGATGGGAAATGGTGAAGAATATTCAAGTAAAATTTTAGAAGTGGACTTATAAAGAGGAATTGAAATTATATATTTAGCTTGTTTAATAACCTCTGTAGGAATACAACTGTGATACATGTTTTGTTTTCCATTCCTCCCCCCCCCCACTTCTCTCTCTCTTTTTTTTTTAATCTGTAAATCTGCATACGTTCCAGATGCAAGTAAAGAGTGGGGGAAAAAAAAACTGAATATAAAAGAAAATTCCACAAAAAGCTACTCAAGGAAAATATTGCAGGCTCTCAGCTCTGAGGGGTAACCTTGAAATGTCTGAACTGGCTCATTCATCAATGTGCCAGTTAAATACAGAAGTTTGCACAATCTGTGATTGTGGATGTTTCAATGTCATTTAGTACAAAACTGTAGATAATGTGCTTGCACTCTAACAAGTTTGACGTCACAAAAACTAAATAGCCTTATGTGATCAGAAAAAATGTGTTTTTTCCACTGATAGTTTCTGTTCATCAGTTTGCAGTGTCAATACAGGTATCTACAGCAAATTGAAAATGTACAAATGGGATACACCAAATGAACTGACAAAGAGAATACATGTAAATTCTTTATTTTCACATCAGGTTAGTGTATCTTGATTTCAGCAGTAATTACGACCTCCAGGAGATTCACCTTCTCCATCCCATTAATGATTATTGCAGGCCTTTGCATCCACTTATCCCTCTCTCACATGTGAAAGGCTAAAGGGTCTTAGCCTATTGCTTATGAAAACTATTGATTATTCTTATGTATTTTCTTGGTCTCCTCCTTTCTTATTCCTTTCCATCTCTGCTTAAGTGAGAGATATGTACAGAATTGTTCTTAATTCATGAATTTTAACTTCTTTCACTGTTATGGGCTGTGAAAAAGTGAGATTTTTTCCTTCTGTCTGTCTAAAAATTCTTTGCCTGTCAACCTTATCCATGCATGTATTGGTCACTTATTCTTTACGATACATGATATTCCTTTAGAAAAGGAAGTAACTTCCTAAAGTGTTGTTATCACTGCCAAAATTTCTGCTGATGTAAGTGCCTTGTAAGTCAAAACCTAGAGGTCTTGCTTCTGAGGAGCATTTATGGGATCCTGGTAAAGATATTTGAGTTGGTGGGAGAATGTGCTGTGTGTTGAGACCAAAGAACAGGTTACTCAACCAGGAGTCATCAGTTCAGATGAGACTATTGGGGCAAAATTAGCTGAATTGAATAGATAGGATCAAAAACAAGGCTTTGAGTCAATTTGAGGCTTTTTTTTTTTCATAAATTTCCTCCTTTTCTACTCTACCTTACATGTTTTTTTTTAAGGAATAATTAAAGATCTGTCAAATCCAGCTGTGGCATCGCTTCTTCAGAAAGTATTTAGGAGTAGCAATTATACATATTTCTAAACTGATGACAGGGAAATTGTTGATGTTATTTCGGATGGAGGAGGAAAGATGTCGTGTGCTTCTTAAAAGTGCTACACAAAGAGTCAGATGGAGGATTCAATTTCTGTCCTGAACCTGCAGTGATACCCTGTGCATCCCCAGGGTCACTTGATGCTTTAGCTCTGCATCTGCAGAGTGGAGGCATGAGTACTTTTTGGGATTTGTCTAAAGAAAAAGATGTAAAATTGTGTCGTTGTGTTGTGCATCTTCTGGCATACTGATGTCCTCATCTTGCATTGGCTCTGTAGGCCACGCTACAAGCAAGTGTAGTGTGTGTGTAAGACCTCCTTTGCTGCAAATATAAGTGCCTCTTTTTAACTGTTATTTTTTTCTTTATGAACTAAGCTGTGCAATGGGATTGGAAGGAGAGCTGAATCCCCTGCTGCACACAATCCTTGCTGTGCAGGGGAGAGCCGTGGCTAAACCTGCTGGGCACATCCTGGAGATGTAGGCGCTCGAAGCAGGAGGATTCTGGCCTCTGGCCCTGCTCTTCATCGTGGCTGTCCGTGTGTAACTGGTGGCACTTCCACACTACACGGTGGTTTGAGCTTCTGAGTCCTGTTCTGAGGTTATGTTGTGGCAAAGCAGCATATGCACAACAACAAGTTAACGTCGAAATGAAATAGGTGATCAGTAGGCTTTGGAATTCTAAATACATACAAATCTTCCAACAAGCATTTTTATTTCATTTAAACTTAAAATATGATATTTTGCATGGTTTCTGATATACAAAGGCCAAACAAATGGGCAATATACCAACACCAACAAAGGGAAACGTGAAGGAGGCTTAAGACTTGTAGTAAAAATACATTTTAATTTCATTATTGTCCTACAGATTATTTGTTTAATCCCTCTTGATAAATGAGATCATAGAAGACAAGTTTCTTAAATCTTAAACTTAAATTTTGCTGAATGCTCTTGCATTACCAGGAGAGTGCTGTTGTGCATAGCTGCGTAAATGGCATGAACTCTCTGTTAACTTTGTACCTTTCTAGAAGTACTGAAATGATGTTGGAATGTACCAAATAATTGGGCAAACGCTTGCTGTAGCGTTCAGGATGGATCCACGGCATAAATAGGGGAATTTCCTGCATCCGCTTTTAGTTATCCCCTGCTCCTTCCAGGGATCTTCCATCTCTCTTGTAGGGATATATTAGAGGGGGGTTTATTTCACTATCCGGGAAGCATAAGGGGAAAGAGCAGCTTCTCAAAGAGCTGGGCAAGTCCTGCACATGGTTACGAACGCTCTCAGCACATGCACTGGCTCTTGTGCCCCGGTTCATTTTTAGGCAGAAAGGACCTGCTAGGTGCTTGTCCATTGCTTGTAAACCATTTTGGTTTAATCTCTTTGCGGGGCTGTCTTGGTTGTGAAATGTTTCTGTCCTGTGTGTTCGCTGGCTTACGAGAGCTGGTGCTTTTATGGAAAGTTGTAGTGTAAAGGGGGTATTCTCTCAAGGGCAGTGTTCAAGGACTGAGGAAAACTGAAAATGCTTTATGGGTAAATAGCACTGAATGTAGAGCAGGATATATTTAGATCATGCTTGGCTGTGTTTCATAGGAGATACTTTTTTCTTGTATGTCTGTACCAGCATGTATGAAATATGTTGTCATCCTTTCTGTAAGAAATCACTGAGGAGAAACCGATTTCTGAGAATTTGTCCTGAAGGGAAGTGTTCACTGTGTTTTGCCAACTCGGAATCAATCTTATGTTGATAATAACTGGTTTTAGCTGTAATATCTGAACTTTCCAAAAGCAATTTCTTAGAGAAACTAAATGCAGCTCTAGCTAAAAGTATAATAAAAACAAAGAATGAGTTGGTAAGGACATTTTTTTGTTGTCTTATAAGTTTGAAAGAAATGGAAGATGGAATTAACATTAAAATAACTTACATAAATGAAATACTTGGGTTTTTTTTTTTGTAGATGTTTAGGAATGAAAGTTATGTTATGTTTTGAGTAAAAAATGCCTCTGCTATTATGGGAAAATGTTGTTGCAAGGAGGTGGTTGGTATTTTAATAGTATATTATTTAGGAAATTGCGAAGAAAATATACCATTTTATAATGCATGTTCAGCAATTGTAGAATTGGGATTATATTTCACTGTAAAACTCTGACTAAATGTTTTTCTTTCAAATTAGCATCTTTTCTTTTTTTCAGGAAATTTGGAGAGCGACCTCAACCTAAGCGGCTCACTAGGTAAGCATTAAAGTATTTTGATTTTTATCAATTTTAAAGACCTACCCTTTTTGTCTACAAAAGCATTCCAAAGATAGATAACAAATTAGGGACTGCTAATCCTAGGCTTCTAAATTTTCAAAAGTACAATTTTTGTAAGCAATCAGCAAGAAGTAGAACTCTGAACAGTAAGTGACTTACTTGCTTTTAATATGCATTTCAAAATGCCTGGTTTGAAATTGTATTTATGTCATGTATCTGTTGCTGTGAATTATTCAAGAGAGTGTGAATCTGGTTAGGTTTAAATCCCTGGAGGTGAGTCAGATTTATTTTCTTGGGCAAAAGTGACTTGTGAAGTCATGTAAAATAGCATTCCTTACTAGCAAATTTCAGCTGTTTTGTTAGTGCTCTCATGCAGCAGTTAAGAGCAAAATTAACATGGTGCTGTCAAAGAATGATCTTAATTAGATTTTGATGAAGTCTAAACCATCAGGGGTAATGTCAAATAGTACGATTAAGGGATTCCACCCTGAAGAGTGTGTAGGAGGAGTGTAGAGAGTGGGTCTGAATTGTTCCTGTATCATCTCGCAAGGGTTTATAATAAATGCTATTAAGTAGTTGACTTTTTCAAATTGTTGTGACACCTTCAGCACAAATAGCTATTGTTTTATATCATAGGCTGTGTGCTGATGATAAGCAACTATTGAGTTTAAATCCTGTTTGTTGGAAGTATGTAAAATCTGCAATCTCTTTTTTACACTCCTGTATGGCAATAAGATGGTATAAAAACACAGACCCTGGTTGCTGCTCTGGCCTTCTTGTCTTCTGAATGCAGTTGTGATCCTTCATCAGCAAAAAAGCATCTGTTTGTGGCAGGGTGTTTGTCTCGATGCATTTCTGGCGCAGTATGACACTAGCATTTCAGTGTGATCTATACTGACTTGCAAGTGATTAAGTGAACATACTGCTTTCCCATGAACTTGCTTATTTTCTGGGATATTTCAATAAATTAAGCTTTAAGTCATGGGCTTTTTTGCTTTTTGAGCAGTAGCACCTGTTAGTATCACCCTCAAGTTGCTAATTTGCAATCTCTGATTTAAAGGCAACAGCAACGAAATTCAAGATTATTTAGTAAAATCTTGTCATGAACAATTCTGTGTGTCTAATAAAATGTTTATCATGCCAGCTCTGGAAAACTTGCTCATGTGTGTTTTCCCAAGAAAATGCTAAAACTTCCGTTGTTGCTGTTGTTCAATGTCCTTTGAACAAATTTGTGAATAGTTTTATTTTTCCGTCGTACTTGTTTTTAACATAAAATATAAATTATAATAGTACTATTTGTGAAAAAACAGTGGGGGCGGCTGGCTGGGGGAGGCAGAGTCTTAGATTCTCCCAAGAGCTCGAATTGGGCGAGTCTGCTGTAGCAACAGAGCTGGAGAAAAGGCCAAAATTCTTTGCGATATATTAGCTAGCACCACAGTAGTATTATAGGTGGAGGGGCTGATGGGTTTGGGTTAGTTTTTCTTTATTTGCTTTTAATGTTAGTCAGATTGGGAAAAGCATTTAATAAACAGATATTAATAGAGTATTTCAAGTTATGAACTTGGATATAAAAAGTTTTAAACCTAGTTAAAAGCAGTTAATACATGCCATAATGAAATGCACTGTAATGATTTCAGAGTGAATTGTGTTTAGATTTTGTGATTTAAAATGTATTCTTAAGTAAAGACACTGAAGAAAGCATGTATATGCACTCTGAGACAGTTCTTACCTCTGTACTTTCATGCTTATACATGTCACCAATTACAACCAAGTGTAAATATCCTGAGTTAAGCCAAATTTGAAACAGCATTTTGGGTCTTCTTCCTCTGCTGTTCTATCCTGCTTATTTGTCCTCCTATGTAGGTGTGCCAAGGACAAGAAATCAGGGAGCACTGATAGCAAAGTGGGGTTTCCCCCACACCCTGTGAGCTCTATTTGGGGGATCTGAAGTCAACAAAATATTGCTTATGTCTTGCCTCTTTTCTTACTGGAAGCGTTTCTCTAGGAAGACAAAGCACTAGTTTATTTTGGTGTTCTAAGTCTGTCTGAAGGGAATTCAACAGCTGCGTGCAGTTCGCCAATAATTCCTGCTTTGCAGTTTCAGCACTTCATATAACTTCCTGTCATATTTATGATTTGTTTCTCAGGTTGGTGGCTCTAAAGATGAGTTCACTGGTGTAACGTAGGCTTTTGACCTGCAAAAGCTCTGCCTGGCACTTACAGGTGCTCCTGTCCACACTCTAAGGCAGCCAAACCCCCAGAGGCAGAATTTGGCAAGCTGCTTAATGGCCAGTTAGGTTGTTACACCCAGGAACAGAGGATTTCCCTCGAGGAATGGCTGGTGCCCTGTCTGAGGTGATCACAGCCTTTGTTTCTCTTCTGTCTTTACAGTGTCAAGGAGCGAAAGAAAATCTAAAATTATTTTGCCTGATTACCTACAGGAAAGAGAAAACTTAGAAAAACAGGCCAGTAGGCTTCTGAATAATTAAACTTCAAAAGCAAACTCCTGCAAACATGATTCAGTTAATTAATTGATTCCGTTAAGAATAGGAAAAAAATCTGAACTATTTGTCTTCACTGTTATGGGAGACTGAACTATTGATGGAGGAGATGACACTAAATTAATGAAGTATCTAATCAAATATTGGTAACACAGAATCTTCTAAAAGACTTTGAACATGGTGTGAGGATGGGCATGGAAATGAACATCAGCATAATTTTTATATTTCATCCTCTACTCTGGAAAATATAGCAATGATGGTGGACGGTCAAAGACCACCGCAAGTTCAATATGAAATTATTTTTTTTTCACTGTGCAATTGTCTTAGGAAATAATGCAAGGTTATTTTGACCCTATTAGTATATACACTGACAGTTACTCCTTCCCCCCACCCCCATTTCAATTATATTTGTTTTTCCTAGAGCTCTATCCTTTATTATAAATATAAACCAAAAAAAAGAGCTTCCAAAGCTTACTTTGTCTTTTAATTTTTAGGGAAGCAATGCGAAATTACCTAAAGGAGCGAGGTGATCAAACAGTGCTAATACTCCATGCGAAAGTTGCGCAAAAATCATATGGAAATGAAAAAAGGTAAGTTTCTTTTCCTGTCTCCTTCCACAGATTCCAGCTGGGGAAACAATGTGTGTTTTGGTGCCTAATACTGAGTAGGGTTCCTCAGAGTATATTATTGTCCAATGGCTCTATGGATGTTTTGATGCCCCTGTAGGTTTTTCTTGCATAGCAATAGCTTTCCTAAAAGGAGAATAGGGGAACTTAAGCTAGATGTCCTTCTTTACATCCCGTTGCAGTAGTAGAATTTTAGTGTTCTTCACTGTTATGTGTATGGTACTTGATCATTATGCCTTTAACAGTTCTCAGAAATTGGAGATGTTAACATTTTAATCTCGAAACTGTTAGAAAACAGAAATCCATCAAAAATAGCCTGAAAAAAAATTAATTTGGTGCTACCAAGCAAATAACTTTCTAATGCTTCTGAATTATGACGATGCAGACTGTATTTTTAACTGTTTGAGTTCTATTCAGCATTCTATCTCTGAGTTCTGGTCTTTCAGTGTGTTTCTTCTTCCACATTAGCCAGTGTCTAAAGTCTTTTCTTTTGGGCAGTATCCACATTCAGCTCCACTGAATTGTTTACTCAAGAGTGCTTTTTAGATCTCTCTGAAATTCTCAGTGGTAATGAAATGTGAAATCAATGAAAAAGGAAGGACATGAAAGCAAAAAAAAAAAAAAAAAGTATTGTGTGGGTGATACTCCTCTCTACAGACCTCTGTTGCTTAATGCAAGAAGTAATGTAAAGGAGTTGTAATGCAAAGCCGTACTAGCAGTAAATTACACCTTTAACCCTTTTCAGCAAGCTCTGCAGCCAAAAAAGACTTATCATGACTGCATAGAAACCTCTGGTTGCTATCTTTGCAGACTGTGTAGCATAGTTAAGGCTCATTCAGAAGAATTACACAGGTTAGTGCTGAAAAAATGAGGTGCCCCTGCAGAGAAGGAAATGAATTTCTACATAGTTTGAGTGTAAATTCAGTAAGATTTTTTTTTAATGTGGTGCATGTATGTGGATAGGAACATTTTACAAACCTGCTCTGTTAGTCTTTTTTTTTTTTTTGAAAACAGTTTGCATCGAAAGAAGGGAGAAAATACAAAGATAACTTATGTTGTTTTGATTCTTAAAATTTCCATTCCTATTGAGAAGTCACAGAAGTGCTGTGAAGAATACAGATCAATACTTTAAATTGTTACTCATTAGCAGTTTCTGAAAGCTCCTGTGTGCACTCCATAGCCAGCATGGCCATAAATTCTCCCTACCTTGAATGTGCCTGTTCACTTTACTTGATCCCCTTCAAGCCCTATTGAGCTCGCCAGTACTGATGACCTTCTATGAGCAGGTAACTGGTCTCAAGACTGCCAACTAGGACTAGACTTTCTGCTATTACTCTGGCCTTTGTGAAGGTTCTCCTAACTTGGCGTAGATTCATGAAACTTAGCTTCTCTTCTTAGAGTGCATCAAGTTGGTGTTTTGTTTTTGATTTGCTGTTTTATTCATAGCAAAACATGCCTTTGATCTTTCACATTGGACTCATAGTAAAGATTTGAGGCTGTCTTATGGAATTGGTCAACTAATTTCTTGCTCTTTTTTTTTGTATTCAGTAGCTTTTCTGAAGATAAGTGTCTTGTACACACCGTTGCTGCTGTATAGTCTATTTCGTATTTATCTTTATGGAACAATATCTCCCTGTCTTTACAGGGTTTTAGTATAACATGTATATAATTAGTTTTGAAACATACAGAGTAAGTTCTGTTATGCTATCTTTATAAATAAAACTTCAAATTGAAAGAAGACTTTCAGCAGTTAACTTTCAGTTAAATATAGAAGCTTAAAAAAACCTCTGCCTCCTATTCCACTCTTTAAACTTTGTTGTAAGGTCATGGAAAATATTCATCATTAATAAGCTTTGCATAGCAAAATTGAAAGTTAAGCATAATAAGTACTTTTTGAAGATTTGGTGCACAAGTCATATGTTATGCTGTGGTTTAAATATGCTTCATAGGAGGAGACTTTCAGGTTGTTGCCAAGTAGATGGAGACTTTCTCGGTTGGTTTGATAGTGTTTCTGAAACCCTACATATTAGGATGATATTGGCTTCTTCTTTGAGTGGGCCCTTCTTTTAGCTTTTCTTTTCTCAAAGTCAGTACTGTTAAATTTAACAGAAAAACTCAGGAAGCAAGAAACTTAATGCACTGTGTTTTGGACTTGAATTCAAGTCTTGCTGCCCTATGTCTCCCCTTGGGTGGCTGTCATTTGTCAATGACATTCAGGTGATGGGGGCTAGCAGCTCAGGTGGTGTTCAGTCCTAATGAATATGGGCATTAGACTTGTGTTTTTTCCTCTCGCAGGTATTTGTCTCTGCAGAATCTCCCACCGTAGTGCAAGGGATACAGTTTGAACAGTGTGAATGTTCAACTGTTTGAAGGGCTGGAGTATTTTGAATGCCAGGATGTAGTTAGTGAAAGAACATGAGCCTGAGTGGCACTTGCAAAGTATGATCTATTCCGAGCTTCAGCCCTGTACCAACAGGATGTTCTAGCTGCACCTTGTTTTAGAGCTGTTAGTGAAGGAGCTTGTGTAGTTTCTGCTCATCAAACACTTCTCTTGGCCACGCTGGGTGCGCTTGCTCTCTCGTTATTGCTGCTGTTGAGTGCGTTGCCTTTTCCAGGCCTTGCCACAGGGCTCCCCTGCCTTCCCCTTAGCACTCAGCATTTAATTATTTGTTTCTTGTTGTGTTACACTCTTCAGTGGATGTTGTCAGTTTCCTCAGCTCCTAAGAAGGAAAGAGGACTGCTGAGGGGGTTGGTGCTCTGAACTATGTGGGTAATGGGTGAATATCTCCTGCCCTGACCAATAGACAGAAAGGAAAACAACTTACCTGCTGCTGTCACCCTGAACAGAAAGAGAACAAGGTGGTAGGTGCCTCTAAATCAAGGCAAAGATTTCTGTAAGATGAACACAGGACTGACTTGGAGAATTTAAAAAAGCACAAAACAGAAACCTGTGGTTTTAAAAGAACACTGAGGGCATCAGAACTAGGCAGTGATGATATGAGCTTAGTTTATTTTATATTCCACCCCTTTCTCCCTGGCAATACATTTCTCTTTATATGGAAATTATTAATTAGAAAAGTCCCTCTCTACTTGAAGCCCCATATTTTCTCTGTATTCATAGGCCTTAGTTGACTGAGCAGATTAAATGATGCTGTAAATGATGCTAAAGACTCAACCTATTCTGCCTTCTCTTAGTGCAGTCTGGATGTGGGAATCACTAAAACATGCAGCAAATTTTCTCACTCTTCCCCTAAAGTCACTTGGAATAAAGGGGAACATCTTTAGACAAACCTGAGCTTGATGTTCTTGCCACAGAAAAGTGTTCGGTTTTCAGCCAGTCTGATGGAAAGACTTGTCAGAAGAGACAGATTAACAGTTTGGTTCCATTTATTGTACCGAGCTAGTGCTCTTGTGCCTCTTAGGAGGATCAGTAGGAGAAGGTGTTATGGGGGTGCCCTTTATGTTTGGAGACAGAACCCCTGCCATTTCCTTGCTAATGCCAGTCCCAATGCTAGCTTCATTTTTTTCATTCAATAACACTGGAAAGTAGCTTTTTTTTGGTACTCTTTTTCTTGCAGCCAGCCTCTCTCGTAAGTATTCATTTTTATATGGGAATTATTGATTAATGAGAAAAACTACTTACATCAGTTATTACATATAGATGAAATTCTTCAGTCTTCTGTGAAAAGTAGAAGTCTGTGGAGCCTTATTGCTTGTTCACACTATATTGGATAGAAAATTTATAGTTAAACTCCGGTATATTATTTCCTGGGATTGTAAATATGAAGTAAAAAGCCACCAGACTATACTTGTCTATATTTGAAGACTGAATAAGAAGCTGATAATTCAGCAAACCCATGGCAACTGTGACCATCCAGATGGTTTCCTTTCCTGACAGTTTTAACCAAACTTAAAACTCTCTAAGCTGCAAAAAAGTCTCTGTTCATAATTCATAGTTTTCTAGTGCTTTTCTCTGTATTTTAATTTTAAAGGAGCATTTTGGCTTCTTTTCTCCGATGGGTTAAAGCTTGTTTCTTATAGGTCTTTATTGCCATCTAGAGGTTGTAGTTGTTCAAAGGACTAGGATTATACTCAAGCTGGAAAAGTGGATATGAAAAAGTCTTGAAATTTTTAACTGGTAAGATAAATACATGAGGGAGAAAGGTAAACTGAGTGCATGATTAGCTTTACTGCACTATGCCTGATAGAAAAGCAGAGCTTGAAGCATTTGGCTTTGTTTTTGTTTAGTTTGTTTTTTATTTTGTTTTGTTTCTGCTAAGCATTGTCTCAGTAATAAACATTGATCCTCATTTTTAATCTTCCTCAGTTGGAAATAACTTATAATTGCTGATGAAGAAATTATCAAATGCTTCTGTTAAAACTGTTCTGTGTGAAGGGATCTGGCACTGTCTGAGAGTTTGAGAGTTAAGAAGTTGATTAGATATGGGATGCTCTTTTCTGGTGGTCTGGGTGTCTTTCCGGAACCTGGTTAGCTGAATAAAGGTATCTATACTTCAGTCTTGAAAACCTACATCTTTTTAAATGTAGTTATACTTCATAACTAGTTCATAAATTTAGTAGTTTAGTTCATACTTTTAGTCATAAGATCGTATTATGCGTGTCAGAAACACGACAGTGGCCCTCTCCCTGAGGTATCAAGGTCTCCTAAACACAACATGGGCAGGTTCCTTGCCCTCCCTTGCTGATCTAAGAAAAAAATGTGACTTTCTCTTCTTCCCATCTGTATATATGCAGGTATATATCTATATATCTCTATATAGTTTTTAAATGTGTAGGTCAAAATCGTCTACAACCAAAAATTCCCCAGTGCAGGGCTTAAGATGTTATTTCTTACTTGGTTCTGCATTTCTGTTTTCTTGAAACACACCAGAAATTACAACAAGCAGTAGAGAAGCCTCAGAATACATTTTTAGTTCAGTTATAATATATCTAGATATCGGGTGATATACGGAAAATAAATCAGACTCATCATGTGGAAAGTAAACTCCTTGTATGTGTTCTTATGTCTTTGACCTTTGTCATTTTAAGATCACCTTTCTTTTAAGGCAAAGAAGCATTTGAGCATAATTAGATCCTGCAATCTGCACTGACCTGATGTATGAAATAAATACAATTTAAAATTAGAAAATACATTCCTGTTTCTCAGATTAAAGTTTTATAGCAGGACAAGAAGGTGGTAGATCACATGTAAAAGAAGTTCAGTGATGATCATTAACATGCCGCTGTTCATACATTCTGCATCTTTTTGAAGCAAACTGAAACAGATGTCAAGTAGCAAAAGATAAGGAGCAAAAGGCAGAATAGTAAACCGAATAGTAATATAGCATGTGTGCTGTTTGATAACGTTGTTTATTAATGCTTACTTCTCCTCTCTGTGGCTTTCAAACTTGAGAACCTTAGTTCCGACATCAGTAAGGTTAGAATAATCCATCCTATGTCAGATAACTATAATTTTCAGCTTTGTGGTCCATGGCCCAGCTTCTGAATGTGCAATGCTCTTGCACTATACTCAGAATCTGTGTAAAATATTATATTTGAGATACTTTACTGTGTAGTTTCTCAAGTTGACAGTTCAGTAAAGAAACATCACTGCAACAGGCTGCCCAGAGAGGTTGTGGAGTCTCCTTCTCTGGAGATCTTCAAAGCCCTCTTGGACGCAGCCCTGTGCCACGTGCTCTAGGTGACCCTGCGTGAGCAGGGGGGTTGGACTAGATGATCTTGCTCCTTGAGCATTCTATGATTCTATGATCTGCTTTGAAAATCGGCACATTTCTATCTGATGCTTTGGCTCTCTGTGTTCTCCATTTTGCAATTGGACAAAAATAATTCCAGACCTTTCTATGATCCATAATTCCCTCAAAGAATAAAATACAAATAGTTAAAACTGACGAAAGAAGCATGTGAAAAGTATTCATAGTTGAACTTTGGAATAACTCTTTCCTACGAGTAGCTTCCATTAATTCATAATTATGTATTTATCAAAATTTCTGTGTGCCTGAAAGGAACAGAAGGAACAAGTACTACATTTTTTGGTACATACATTTTGCTAAAAAGGGCAAACTAGATTTTTTATATCACTTTTTTTTTAACTGAATAAATCTAAAAACATAAACTTCATAAAAATAGCTCCATAAACTAATTTAATGCACTTATCAAGCATGCATATCATTTGGCAAATTTATACTAATTCTTCTCTGTAGGTGGTGATTTTTCAAACCACAGAATGATGCTTTTTGAAAACTTCCATAGATATTTAAGCTGTTTATATTAGTGCATTATCAGCTGTATTTGTTTTTCAAAAAAGTGAGAGTAAGTGGAAAATTTCACTATGAATTCTTTTGACAAGTTGGATTTGTTTTGCTTGATGTAACTTATTCTGAATAGTTATCATAACCCTTGAAACATTTTGAATTGTAATAAAACTTTTAAAATTTGGTTCTTGGTTTAGCTTTCAAGGAATATATATCAATCCTGTGTGATTAACTAAAATGACTGCAAATCTTTGCATTTATTTAGATTCCTAGTACTTACACATGTTGTTACGTGCTTATTAGCTGGGTTCACCTATTTAAATTTCTGTTATTTAAAAAAGATGTGTGTTAAAATTAATCGTACTGAATAAATGAGATAGTGGGTAGAACTTGTTTTTGGTACTAAAGCTGACTTATCAAAGTTTATATAGTGTTTAATAATATGTGTAATCCATTAATTCAATTGTCTCACCTATAGGAATAGTGTAGGAGTTCACTTTGCATATTAGATTTGCCGGTGGTTGGCTAATGGTTTAGCTGTGGCTAAAACCGAAAACAGAATTTTCCCTTTAATAGTTTGCAGAAACTTTAAGGAGCGATACATGGTATTAGTGTTGTGTAATTTAAAACCTATTGATACAAACAGTACCTAAGCAGTAGATGAATTTCAGTCAGTGCTGCTAGAGAGCAAATCATGTCCTTTGCAGTTATTAGTGAAGATGTAAAATCATTTATTCCATTTATAATATATAAAAGCGATTTATGTTTGGACAGAATAGGGACCTCCTCCTTGCTAATGGTGATGGTGATGCAGTAAATATTTAGAAACTGTAGTCAACAGCCTCCCATTAAATCAGTTTGTGGATCTATTGCTGCATTGCGTCATATTAACCACCTACACAAGGACAACACTGTCATCACTTCTTAAGATGAAAACATTTTCATTTTGCAGAAATGCAGACTGTTAGCTATCATATTGATTGGGAAAGGTGCTCTGTGGCAACGCACCTAATCCTGTTTTTGCTTTTTGCCCTTTTTGACTTGCATTTGGAAAATCTTCAAGGCAAGTGAAGGTGATTCATGTATAAACTGGAATGCAAAATATAAACTGACCAAGTAAGCGTTGGGTAGACAACAGTTTGCGTCTGAATATTTTTTTCTTAAGAGTTGTGTGTAATCTGATCATGCGTCTTTCATTTTCAGGTTCTTTTGTCCCCCTCCATGTGTATATCTCATGGGCAGTGGATGGAAGAAAAAAAAAGAGCAGATGGAAAGAGATGGTTGCACTGAGCAAGAATCCCAACCATGCGCCTTCATTGGAATAGGAAACAGTGACCAAGAAATGCAGCAGCTGAACTTGGAAGGAAAGGTAGAGCAAGTGTAATGAAACACTCAAGTTACTCTAAAGGATATTAAAACTACATGGTGCATCTGTCAAGGAGTGTCCTGATTATTATTGACAATTTCTGATATACTGTGACAGATACTACATAAGTGGCTAGAAAAAAACCCTCAAAAATATGTAGGATTATGTGAATCAGTGAACCCGATGGTTCATGGAATCCATTAGGATAGTCATTTTTCATTCCATGTTGCTGATTCTGAGTCAGTAAACTAGTAGTTTATTTGCTAGGGATCAGAGATTAACTGAAGCAAAGTTGCTATCTCAAACTGTTTTCATTTGTCCTCTGCCCATCTCACTGGCTTGCATGAATGGGTAATCTTTTCAAGGAAGTATCTCAACAGCATCTGTTGCTAGGGTTAGGTTTTAAGTCCTTTTGCGTCAGAATATTAAAAATTAAATTAACATTTAAAAGATTTATTAATTTGTCTTTTTACAGTGTTATAAATTGCTATGATTTTTAAAGGATATTTCTAATATCAATGTAACTAGTTGGAACAAAGCTGGTGGCACGGAGGTGCCCATTTTGGCTGGTGTCTTAATAAGCAGTGTTCTAAAACTATGCAGTATTTGTAGCACAGTTTTCTCAGAAATGTCATATCGGCTGGAGGTTTTTTACATGTACAATAGAATCTGTCTTGGCCACTTGAATTTCCTGTCTTGGCCACTTGTTGTAGCGTTGCCCTGGAAGCCAGTGCCTTGGCTGCTGTGGGTTAGGTGATTCTGGTCTCAACAAGTTTGTTATCAAGTGGTTTTCTCAGAATACCCATGCCATGTGTATGTCTTAGTTTAAACATGCAATTTCACAAGATTATACTGAAGATGTTAGGGTTTTAACATTTATAGTAAATGCTTTTCAGAAGCCTTCTTGGTGTAATACCAAGATAAACACTGATTTTGTGCAGTTTCTGAATGCTGAGTTCTTAAAATGAAGGATAAGAAAAGTTCCTTTTGAGATACCTAAGCCTAACATTTGACCATGCGTAGCTTTCTGGTGTTTCAAAACCCTGTCTCTTCTCGCCCTTTCTTAAAAGATTTGGCTTAATCAGAGTTTCTGTGCAGGCAGCCTTTTGTGCAAACCCACTGTATTGCCAATATAGTCATACTTACAATATTTTTAGTAGCACTCTCACCTGCTCAGGCATTACTTGGTTATATCTGTGGTCCCCAGTTATCTGGTTTCCAGTCTCAGGAGCATCTGTAGAAAGAAACAAAATACTGAGGTCATTCACAAAACTAAACAGTAGTTTGTATGTAAGAGTTCCAAATCAATTAGAAGAAAGAATTAAAGTCTTGGTGGTAAGAGATGGCAAAAGCATTTTTAAAAAGCAATTTGTGAAATTCCCTTTTGTTCATAATTAAATGTATGTAGGCTCTTGAACTCAATTAATTTGAAAAAAGAATCAATAGTGTGTTTTTACCTGCAGAACTATTGCACAGCCAAAACATTGTACATATCTGACTCAGACAAGAGAAAGCACTTCATGTTATCAGTAAAAATGTTTTATGGCAATAGTGACGACATTGGTGTGTTCCTCAGTAAACGGATCAAAGTCATCTCCAAACCTTCTAAAAAGAAACAGTCACTGAAAAATGCAGATTGTAAGTATTTGTTTTGTAGTTTTTCTTCTTTATGTAGCAATTCATTTGCCTCTTACTAACTTTTTCTTACATACTCTGAGGATTAACTAAAAGTTTTTCTAGTTTTTCCTAATATAGTTCAGAAGTGTTCACTCTGTTTTAAGGTGTTCCAATTTAAATAGATTATACTGTGAATGAGTTTTATACAGTCAGACTTAGTCATTTACTAAATGTAAAGGTTTATCAAAATTTTTATTCTCAACAGTGAATCTGTGTAGACAAATGTGTCAAAAATGTTTCATCTCCACAGCCTAAGCTGCTGGGTCTTTGAACCTGCCATGATCTGGTGTCTAGAACATCTTGATCAGTAGCAAAGGAAGAGCTTTTAGATTGTGAGAAATGAGTAGCACTGTGTTACTAAACTGCACTTTTTCACATCGTAGTCAGCTTCGTACTGTCTCATGCTATTTCCATGTTGGATTTATTTTTGATTTCTCTTGCATGTTTGCTTTTGAGTAACTAGTTAAGAAATCTGCTGAGTGCTATTCCACGCAGATTTCTTTGTTTACCCTCTTTTCCAGCTAAAGATATTTCTGGTGCTAATGTACAATTGGCAACAGTTTTACTCTTCCTCCAAAATTTTGCCTGCATTCCAGAGCACTTCCAGAGTTGCCCCGTTTTATTTTTTAACTTCACTAGTACTTTAAAAGGCTCTTGCGTCTGTGCTGGGCTGGATCCCATGCACGCGTGGGATGTGGAACTCAGGGCTGCTCACTTGCAGCATGACTTGCAGAAGTCTGTTGCTGTGCAGCTTGTGCCCGTGGGCTCACACTGTGCACTGTTGACTTTGTATTCAGACAGTTTTGATGGGCAGTAAATATGAGCCAAGTAGAAGAAACATGCCCGTTTTGATGACAAAATAATAGGTAAGCCTGAATTTTTTTAGGGGAGCAGACCTAGACTTTCTCCCTCTTGAATGAACTTATTAATAAAATAAGTTCAGATCTGAGAAAAATTCACATTGCATGGTTACAATTTTATATAGTTATGTCTGTCTTCCTTTCAAATGACTGTGATTTGTAAGAATAATTTTTCCTTATACTTCAAATAAAATGATCGCTGAAAGTAGCCCAAGTACTTCACAAGAATTACTTCTTGATTTTCCTCGTTCATCATTTCACTGTATCTGTGATTTTTTGTTGCTTCTCTGTGTAATAATTAAGTAATTGTATAATCTCAAGTCTGTATGTATTCCTTGCAGTATGTATTGCATCAGGGACAAAAGTGGCACTATTTAATAGACTTCGATCCCAAACAGTTAGCACCAGATATTTGCACGTAGAAGGCGGTAATTTCCATGCCAGTTCACAACAGTGGGGAGCATTTTACATTCACCTCTGTAAGTAAAAAATGAAACAATATATTCTTTCTCACCTCCCTCTTCTGTCCCCACAAAGAAAGTCTTGCATTTTTCCTCCTTATGAATGGCCCAAGTAGAGATTTGTTTTTGTTACTGGGTGCATGTTTGATGTAATAGAGCGCTGTTAAATGTTCCTCCTAGCAAGAGAGACATGTTTTAAAACAAATAATGTGGAATTCCTGTTTCATACAGTGGATGATGATGAATCAGAAGGAGAAGAGTTCACAGTGAGAGATGGCTACATTCATTACGGGCAGACTGTCAAACTTGTATGCTCAGTTACTGGCATGGCACTCCCAAGACTGGTACAGTTTAATTTCTCCAATGCTGTAATTAATTTGTAGCTTGCTACTTAGCATAATTACATAGTTGAGTTTGCATTCTTTATAGTTTTTGACTTCGTGTGTTTCCTTTTGATATGTGCTTTTTATGGAAAAGGGCATTCGTTTTAACATGGTCTTATTTTTCACTTTATATCTGCAAATTAATCCCATCAGTGACAAAAATTCAGGAAGTAAGCACAGGTAAATTCTAAAAATTCAAAATTTGGCCTAAGTAAGTTGCTCTGCAGGCTCTTTTTAACATGCCTAAAAGTAGGCATGGTTTTGCATTTCCCAGCATAGCAAAATAAATATATTTAAACAGGTGAGCAATTTCTTTGCAGACAGTAGGACTGCTCTATTTGTTGAGAGTTTAGTGCCATTTTAAAAACACTTTACAGATCGAAACTAAAAGCACTTCAGTGTGCTTCTAAGGATATGTAATTATACCAATATTGTGAAGAAACCTTTTGGACCTTTACTAATGTTGTGTAAATACGTAACATTGCAATTGCATTCTGGATAACATTTGGAAAAAAAAAAAAAAAAGAATTCAACCAGTTTGTTTTTTTGTGCTTTCTAAACAAGACTGTTTAGAAGCACTTAAGGTTCATGAGCAAAAAATATATATATTGGTGGATGCGTATACAAGCCGTATGTATAGGTAGAAGTAGCTTAAAAGAAGTCAAGCTAAAGTTTTCTGTTGGGTTTGCTATTTGGAACATGTGTCATGCTGCCTTCAAGACTGATTGAAGGTGACATGATTTAAAGGTAACTTGCAGACTTTGTATAGGTTGATACGAAGAACTTTGAAGAAACAAGTTAACCTTGAAAATTATATTGCTAATAATGCCATTTATTATCATTAGAAATCCCAGAGGACATGGTTGGCTTTCTGATTGTCGGCTTAGAAATCTTCAAGCACTATGGCTGCTGCTTCTGCTGATGTTGCATAAAATGAAGTATTAACTTTTTTCTAGAAGTTGAGTTAAAATTCCAAGCTACAGATTTCCACTGTCTGTAAGGGAATAACTTTTTTAATTTTTAAAAATAAAATAATTGTAACAGCTTTGAATTAAGACAGCAGATATTTTTTCATTGAACTCACAGATGTAAGGAATGATTGTTCTTTGCAGTTGTCTTTAAGTAACATTTAATGACCAACTATCATTTGATGCACTATGATTGTTGTGCTTGAAAAATTATACTTAAGGACATCTGAATAATTATAATGTAATTCTTATTTTCAGCTACTTTAGTTCAGCAACCAGTCTGCCACTGTCAGTTCTTAATGCTATCAATAGTGAAAGCATATGCTTCTGTGAAAGATTTTTAGTACTTGGCCTACTGCTGTTTTGTATCAGGAAATGGAACAAAAGTAGATTTAGCATGGACTTTTTTCCCCACTCTTATAGCAAACAATATCAAATATATATGCATGCAGCACCTGTTACATTGAAATTGTAGTACCAAGCATCACTTTAATATAGTTCCTTTGTTCGCAGAAGTATTAGAAGTTATGAATCAAATGTTAGTTTTAGAACAGCAAGGTATTGCAATTAAAAATAATTTTACTTCCTTTGCTAACATTACTTATGTAATCTCCAGCATACTGCAAAGCAGGAGTTGTCCTAAGTGTGTGCATGCAATTCTCATTCACAGATAATTCGAAAAGTGGATAAACAGACAGCATTGTTAGATGCAGATGATCCAGTATCGCAGCTCCATAAATGTGCATTCTACCTTAAGGACACTGAGAGAATGTATTTGTGCCTTTCCCAGGAGAGAATAATCCAATTTCAAGTAAGTTGTTGAACCCATTCTCCTAGATAAGAAGTAGGACTGCAGTCATTCCATATAATACCAAAATGTCACTTTTGTGATGGTTTTTGAATGTGATTCTATTATTTTGTTTGAAAACAGAGAGGATGAAAAGTAACACTTGTCGGGTTTCAGATGGGCTTTTTTTTTTTTTTTCTCATATCCTTTTTCCAGACCTGTAAAGACAATGAAATTATATCTTATCCCCTATGAACTCATGCATGCTTGACTTAACCAGCTGACATGGGCCAATAGAGCTGTACTAATTATGCAGGTGTCTGCTCCTAGCTTACAGAAAATAGGAAATGATAAAACTCATCGTGATATTTTATCTTTAGGAACTTAGCAGTTGCACTGGCTTGCTCATGCCTAAGAACTTAAGTAACATAGGAAGTTAATGTAGTTGGCCATAGAAACTTGGGAAGTCAAGGAAATTTGATGTGGAAAATTCCCCTTTTCAAGAAGTCATATTCTTGTCTCTAAAGAGCATAGCAATCTCCATCTCAATTCCTTGTCTCTCCGGCAGGGGGAGAGCAGTGTCCCTAGCAAGTTGCGGTGGCAGGAAGGGACCCCGGCAGAGCTGTGGGAGCCCTCCCGCTGCCTTGGCTGCTTTGGCAGCTCGTGCAGCTGCCTGCAGGCTCTGCCCTCGGGCTCACTGTGGGCTAGCACACTCCAGCAGGTCTGCAGCATGACAATCCCTGTCAGAGGGACAAGGCTGGGACTAGCTCAGGCCTACAACTGGTCTTTAAACACCCAAGGCAGCTCAAATAGCAAAGAGTATTGGGAGGTAACACGGTGATGTGCGAAGATGGCCACACTTGGAAAAGGACTTTCCAGGAGAACAGCTCTAGCTTCTAGGGTAAAAAAAAAAAAAAAAAAAGAAGCAAAGATAAGAAAAGGGGGAACTTAACCTTTTGAAGATTTCTCTCAGTTAAAGGGAAAAGACGAAAAGACTGATGAGGGCTGAGCTGAACCTCTACGAGTTGAGACTGTGGGAAGAGAATACTAGGGGCCTTGTTCATGTTTCAGGAAACACACGCATGGCCTGCAGCTCCAAAGGGAGCAGATCTCTTGGACATGGACAGCAGAGAGATACTTAACAGATACTTTCTGGTAACGGGCAAAGGACTTTTGCCAGAAAGCAAAGAAACAAGAATTGCAGTGGCTGAGGATCAGCCTTGCACTTCTGTCTTTCTGAGGGTACTTGATGAGGAAGAGCTGAATAAAGAAGCAAATCCTTCTCTAAGAGCCTTTTCAGCATCCTGGAAATGCCTGTGGTAGTCCAGGGACATTCTGATGCTTCTCAGTTTGTGTCTTGCTTGTGGAGCTCAGCCCGATAACAGCAAGGAACATTCTACAGGGCAGGGCTAGGGTAAAAGCACAAGGCCACCCACTTCTGAATGCCTTTAGTAGTATGGGAAAAGCAAGGCTCCCACTTGCTTCCTGAATGAGTAAAATCAGCCAAACTTGCCGTTTTCACCTTCTAATAGGTGAAAATTACAGACTGATTACTGATTACAGACAGTAAACATTATCTGCCAGTGTCAGTAGAGAGGTCCCATTGTATCTGTTTCTTTCTTTGAACCGTAAGACCAAAATCAGGGAAGCAGGGGTGTGTGTATCATCTTTCCTCTGCCCTCTGCTGCACACTTACTGCTGAATGCAAGTCCTAGAAGAGACTGCCTGAGCTGTGATCTGAGTAAAAAGCCGTTTTTTCTCGGATGTATGGAAATAGCTGAGTATAGAGAAATTAGAAGGTTGAAGAGGAGAGTAACCAGGTCAACATGAACCTACCTGAAAACTGAAATTTCCAAAGTACCACACGGATCTCTTCCTAAAGATGGTCATATATTCTGGATAATACAATAAGAATATAAATAATGCCTTATAAATAATGCCTGGATTGGAACAACAGTCCATGTCTAGCCCAACATCTATTTCTAATAATAGCTACAGGAGATGCTGTCTAGATAGAGCAGGCAAACCCTGCTCACTTTCTGTAGCCCGTTCCCCTTGTGCTTGCCAGAATCCATGTTTCTTCTATTAGGGATGTAGGAGGATACGTTTCTGACTCTAGCTTTCAGCATCAGTTTGTAGATGTGTAGTCCCTTAGTGTGTCTGATTCCTTTGGAATGTGCTGATGCTTTCTCTGCAACTTTATGTGGCAGTAAGTTTCAGAGATTTTGTGCTCTGTGTAGAGAGCTTTCGTTGCATGTATTTTGAGTAATCTAATACTTTCTCTATGTTATTCCTTTTTGCAGAATTAGGTAATTAATAGTTCTCCCTTCACATTGTCTGCTATCATCTTAAGTTTTTCTCTCTAAACTGTAATCTCAGTCATCTTAATTGCTTCTCCTAAGACCAGCAGCTCCAACCCCTTGATGGTTTTAGTTGTCCTCCTCTGTGCAAGGAAGTTCCCGCCATTGTAGAAGTGGGTTAGCCAAGGTCCTGCAATGGCAAGTTAATGTCTGATGTCCTACTCTCCTTTTCTGATGGTGCCCAAAGTTGTGTTGACTTTTTAGGCTGCCACTCCACATCAACCTAGTGATTTCAGAAAACTGTGAGTGGTGGCTCCAGGAACCTGAGTTGTAACTACCAATTTGACTCATTCCTTTTTGATACCCATGTTTTTATTTGTTTGGAGGTGAAGCATGTTGGCCCATTCAGCCTCAGGAATCGTAGTACCATGTAGGAGGAATGGCATGCGTCCAAGTAGTAGATAACAGTTTGTCTTTTTCAAGTTAGGATAGTAGTTAAGAAGCCTCAATATCAATTGGGTCCTGAGCTGGCAAAGATCTCTAGGCACTACCCTAGTTGCGCACTTATATTGCAAGATCTTTTTGTGTTTTTTCACCTGATCGTATCAGAATGAAGAGTCCGTCTCAATCCAGCTTTCATCTCTACTTCCTTTTATCTGAACTGGGCAGTTTGTGCTCATTGAAGTTTAACAATTAAAAAGAGTGAAAATATACCTATATATCTTGAGCTTTCTGAAAGAAAACAAACAGAATTTAGCTATTAGAATGAATTTCTGAGTACATTCTTTCCTGTGCCTATGTTTAATCTTATATGCAGCATTCCCCTATTGGCTGTTAGACCATGGAACTGTTCAGAGAAGCTAACATTGCCGTAGGAATATAGCTGTCGATATATTTTTAGACTAATTTGGTAATACTTTCAAAAAAACAAGGAAATTCGGACTTAATTGCATTTTCAGTTTCTACCCATGACCTTGTACAACACTGAAATATAATTTTGTATTTTCCATCATTTTGTGGGTGATGGTGAACTTGTAGATAAAAAAAAGGTACTTGGACAATGTAAAACAACTAATAAAATATATGTTACATACATCCACTTTATAAATCTACTTTATTATATCTGCCACAGTTTTGATCACTTTGTCATCATACAAAAAAAACTACCCTAAAGTAGCTTTTAGTCACTGCTGTAGTTGCTTAATGGTTATTGTATGATATCAATACTTTGAAAATAGAGCTAAAATTAAAATAATAAGCAGGTTTGAAACTGGGTTGTGTCGTCATAGGTAAGAACTACAATGTTTTCAGAGGACTTTTTACCAGTTTTGCAGAGCAGCATGCAACTATTTCTCTATTGCATTTTGTTAGAGGAAAATCAATAGGAAACATTTTTTAAAATATCAGCCTTTGTTACTGACTTAGTTGATTTTTGGCTCTGTCAAATGAATCTACAGATGAGATATTAAACTGTTCTTTCTTACTAAGGCCACTCCATGCCCAAAAGAACCAAATAAAGAAATGATTAATGATGGAGCTTCTTGGACAATCATTAGCACAGATAAAGCAGAATACACGTTTTATGAGGGGATGGGACCTGTCCATGCTCCAGTAACACCTGTGCCTGTTGTAGAAAGTCTTCAAGTAAGTTTTCTTTTATTTTGTGGTACTGATTTAAGCTTCCTAGTACCTTTATGGATTATTGTAGGAAAACCTTGTTACTGGCTCTATAAATAGGAAATTACATTGCTCTATGTTGCTATTTAAAAATTTATTTTGGCTTTTAAAACAGCCAGGTACAGATCAAACAAAGCCAGACTGAATCCTTATTGAGGAAATCTGCTGCTGAAAAATCATGGAGTCCTGCTTATGTGTTCTGTGAAGGACTCTCTGATTTTTGTTTCCAAATCCTTTCTTGTTGACCACGTTATTCGAAGTGGTCACTGTGAAGAATTACAAGTGCTTTCAGGCGTCATTTAAATGAGTTACTTCTTCCTAGTGCAACTGGGTAGGTGTTGTCTGGAATTCATGTATGAACTGGGGAGAAATATCTTCTGTTGGTTTTTTGTTTGTTTGCTTTGAGGGGAGGTTGCTTGATTTTACTAATATATTTATTTTTGATGGGTTTTCTTGCCTCATCACCCCTTTTCCAGTTGAACGGTGGTGGGGATGTAGCAATGCTCGAACTTACGGGACAGAACTTCACTCCAAATTTACGTGTCTGGTTTGGGGATGTGGAAGCAGAAACCATGTACAGGTACAGAATTTTCTATTGCTTTTTTGCTTACGTTTTCCTGGATACTTTGCCTAGCATGTAATAATTTTTTAAGCTGTTGTGTTATTCTCAGTTCACTCTGCTGTTTTTCAGATGTGCCGAGAGCATGCTCTGTGTCGTTCCGGATATTTCTGCCTTCCGAGAGGGTTGGAGGTGGGTCCGCCAGCCAGTGCAGGTGCCAGTAACTTTGGTCCGTAACGATGGCATCATCTACTCCACCAGCCTTACCTTCACATACACCCCGGAGCCCGGGCCCCGGCCCCACTGCAGCGCTGCTGGCGCAATCCTCAGAGCCAACTCGAGCCTCATGGCCTCCAGCGACACAAGCACAAACAGCGAGGGAGGTTACACAAGCGTCAGCACGAACCCAACCAGCGTCACATCGTCGACAGCAACTGTGGTTTCCTAACTACCGTTGTTGGTTTGGACTTTAGCTGACTTTTAAGTGCTACGTTCAAGAGAGCTGAACAATTTTTGTGGTTTCGTGGGAAAACGCCTTTCCGTTTTAGGTGATGTTATTTGAACCTTGTTACCTGCAAGTGCTGATCTTAAATATAGAAGCCACAATAAAAAAAAAAAAAAAAACATCCGAAACATTAGAACTTTATTGAAAATCTATTTTTCAGCTGTTTTTTTTTTAATGGGCAAGAAATAAAAATGTGGCTGGGATACATGTTGAGCAAACTAGAAAACATGACACAGCGTAGTTTTTATGGACCAAGGAACTTGTATAAGCTTTAGTATAAAAGGTACATTTTCACCATACCTTTTTTGTATCACAACATATAGTACACTTTTGTTACCAAATAGTTTATATTTTTTTTTCCTCCGAGCTCTTGCTCTGAAGTATATTCAGGTTCCAAGCCTGACCATGCTTGTATAATCTAATTACCATACTCTTCCAGTTTAAAAAAATATATATATTTTTGGTCTGTGGCTGGAACTGTTCCTTTTTTTAAACTGAAGTCTTGTGACTTTTTATGAACTGAAATTGTTTTTATTTCAGCAAGTAGAACCTTGTAAAGGCCAGCATATTTTTTTTAAGATTATATGAAGTCTGTGCAAAAGCTTTAAAAAATGCCTCTGCCTTGCCTGCAATACATGCAATGTATGTTAACTTTAGTGCTCTGTTTTCAGTCATTGTTAATAGTTATTTCTGTTTTCCTTTTTTTTTAATATGTATTTATAGTGATAATTCATGAGGTTCTAACATTACATGAGGTTTTTTTAAAGTGGCATCTCAAGCAGCCTTGTTGATGATTGTTCGTGTCACAGGCAAACGTTGGTGTTTTTGAAGGGTTGTTACTGGGTTTCTCCCCCTCTTCCTTGCTCAGTCATATTGCATCAGAAAATGTTTCAGGATCCATTCAGGTTTTCTAATCTTGTACATAATTTGTATTAAGTGTAAGTTAAATGTTTTATTTCAGAAGTGGACTGTTCCCAATAACTTCATTTGGCAGCATGTCTTCTGTCTTGTTGGCATGTAATTAAAATATCATGAGAAGTATGTGCTACAAAGGGGATTGGTAGGTGATGCCCTTCATCACCGAGAATCACAAAAAGCATGTTTTTCTTCATCCTGTTGAGTAAATTAGGCCAGAGTTTGGTGTAAGATTTGTGTTGAGAACGTACTTTCATTGTGAAGTGATCATACCATAATACCTAGAAGTAAATTATATTACTTAGCAATGGGCAAATAGAAAACCGTAAAAGCACTATCACAATGTCAGCTCCTCCCATCCTTATTTCCTGTGGGTTTCTCTCTCCCTGCCAACAGCTTGTGCAATGTTCAAGTCTTCTCTCCATCATAAATTTAAGGCTCATTTGCACTTTGACTTTGTTGGTTGTTGTGTTTGTTTTTCGCTTGGACCTTGCCATGTTTTATCCCTCCTTGTAAACCTGCCTTCTTCATCATGTATTTGAAAATAGATCCCAGTCGTTCATTTGTAGTGACAGAACTAGGCGTAGACTCACAGGACAAGTTCTTACAGTGTCATCTTCCTCCCTAAAAGCCAAAACACAGGTGTTGTTTCGTGTTCAGCCTTTGCAGTGCCCCAGGCCAGGGCCCGCGGAGCAGCGTGGCTGTGGCTCTGCAGCGCGGCCCTTCCCGGCGGGATGGCTCCTGAGCGCGGCCCCGAGGCGCTGCCTCCGCACACGTGTGTCTGCTGCGACGCTCCGCTCTGGTGCCTGCTCCAGCGCTCCCCCGAGCATGGTCTGTGTCTCCTCAGGACCATGTGGTTAAAGGAAGAAGTCGGTTCCAAAACACGCCTAGCTCGTAGTTGAAGTCGGTGCCACTGTCCTCCCGAAGTGCGTTCGTGTTCCACCACAGGCCTTGGTGTTTGATACTCTGTATCACGATACCTATTCCCATGACATGGTCGCGATGCCGGCTCGTAGCACTAGTGAATACTGCCTCACCTCAGCTCTGCTTCAGTGACCAAGGGCAGAATTCATTGTGGCCTTATCTCTGGTTTAAACTGTTTACTGGCATTTACTTGCAAATCTGTTTACTTGTGTATGTGCTATACAACTTCCTTTTAATTGTTTTGTGGCAGGAATCATTTCACGGTGTTTTTGTTCAAAGCACATAAGTAGCTGACAGTACCGCTTCGGTCAAGGGCCACAGTTTTTCAGCACTAATTAGACTGAGAATTAAGTGATATGTATCAGATTTAGAAGTTTATTCAAGAACAAGACATTATATACACTGAGTAGGTAAACCATAACAAGCCTTTTAACCTTCAAAGAATATTTTAAATAGCTTTTCAGAACTTGACACCTGCTTTTATATTCATTATTTTTAAATTTTTTACATATAAATGCAATACTTTTTATATTCAGTTTCTTTTCTTGCAATAAGTTTGCCCAGTAGAGCATATTACAGTATTCTCTGACTTCTAAAGAATCTAACTGCTTAGCCTAATTTCTGCTGTGTTACACACTACAGCCTAGGGAGTGAAAGAAAAAAGATTATTAAATTCTTCTTGCAAGACCATTTTAAATCCTGTGTTTTCCCTTGGGCTTGTGGCTCCCTTGTTGCCAGTACGTAATTTGTAGACAGAAATGGTCTTCCAGGTCCTTACTGTTGTTGAGATGTCCAGTTGTTCGGATACATTATCTTCCTGAACTTTTCCTGTGGGGTGATATCGTTACATTTTTTGGCCTTGTGAGCTGTTAATCAATTTTCACGATGTTAACAATATCTAAAGATTTTGATTAAACTACTTTTAGAATGTTTCAGTATGAAACTATTGTAACTGTTCAAGTTTAGCTGTTAAGTCTGCTGTTAATTCTGTATTCATAGAAAATGAGTCTCTGTTCAGAATGTTGTTCTAGTTCCAACTTTAGGATGAAAAAGCAAATTTAAGTGCGCCAATTTAGCTATGCCTTTTCTTGTTTTCTTTTTGTTTGGAACTGCATTTCAGAATTCAACACTAGCATAGTCTTCAATAACCTGCTGCTGATTTTTTTTTTTCTAATTTTCTGCCCCTGAAGGCTTCCCACGAGTATATTAATAATGATATTCTGTCCTTTATACCACAGGGACTTAAAAGATCAGAATGGTTATGTGAAAAGGCATGAACTGAAGAACTAAATATGTAAATTCCCTATATATATAAAATTAATGCCGAGCAAAACAAATGAGCTCCCGTAAGCAAGCTACCCACTGTAGACTAAATGACTCCAGAGGTGTCCATTTTGCAACTATATGCTCTTCAATTATTAACCGTATTATTTACTTTCTTTCAAAAGCAGCTGTGTTTATGAGTACTGAACAAATGTGTATACTTTCCTGTGCCAGACTTTTGGGTTTGTTTTCAAGCACTGTACTGTGGGATTGAGTGGCAGCTTTGTTAGAAAAAGAAGTATATTAGGGGTTCTACTTAACCCTTTTAGGACTGAACAATTTCTTTCCTTCATAAAAAGTTGTAAAATAAATGAGCAGTTCTAAGTTTGTTAACATTTGTCTATGTTCAGCACTGCATTTGCCCCATATGGAGGTGCTATGCTAATTTCTTTCTTTTTTTTTTGTTAATCCTGTAGCATATGTATACATTCAGTCTTAAAAGGGTTATTTTTGCAAACTGTGCACCTGTAAAGTTTCTTAGCAATAAGATAGAAAAACAAGCAAGTTTTTACCATAATTTTTTAGAATTAATTGCTCAGTTCCATATTTCATCAAAAAACAAAAACTGCAATATGGGCAGTTTTTAGGAATAAATAAAGTGAAATGTAAACCACATAAAAGTGTTTTGTCAAGTGTACTCTGTGCATATGTGCATATAATACCTGGTTTCATTTTTTTAACTGCTAAAGATAAAATGCCATGCTACTGTTGATGCAACAAAGAGAACTGAGCATCTGCATGATGACAGCATAAAGGCAGTTACGATTTGATCAGATGTTGGAGCAAAAATTTGCCATGTTTTACAGATTTTTTCAATGTTATACATGGAAAAAGTTTTTTATTACTGTTGTTATTTTGGCAAAAGAACAGTGAGGTCGTCAATGGAACCAGAGCAACGGCAAAGAAGACCAAGCCCAGGAGTGGAGGAGTCATCAGTCGTTCTGAGGCTGTGCGCACTGGACTCCAACTAAACGGGATATTATCCAACATCCACCCAAAAAGCTGGTCTCCAAACCCAAATCTGTTTCATTATGGCTTGTATAATTGCTGGAGTTAGAGAAGAGACTGTTTTTTTTTTTTTTCCAATAATGTAAAAGAAAAAAAAAAGTTCACTTTTTGATATTATTTATTAAATAAGAAAAAAAAATCTGTGTTTAATTGTTTAACTTTAGCAACTTTCTTATTCATTTATCTGATTTATTTTCATCTTGTTCCTTTAGGTGTCTGATATTTGTTTTGGTTGGTTAATAACAATAAGAAATACAAGTTCCTGAGACTTGACAAGCTCCTGAGAGCAGAGAGGATTGCGATGGTAGCAACTCTCAGCATTGCAGAAGCACCGCACGTTTCGTGCTAAACTGGTGCAAAAGCTGCTAGTTCAGTTGTAACATGGCCAAGGGGCCAGATGGGGTTGCTAAGACGGTGCAGCAAGATTGGGGGATTTGATGTTTTAGATAGATTATAAGGAAGCATTGTAGATTTTCTGGAAACACCTGCACGAGCCAGCGTTGTTCATCACACAGAAACTTACTATTGGTGGAGCAGCTGCATTTCTGCTGTTTGTAGCAGGGAGAGTGGGGGCAGGTTGCATTTCAAAATTATTTTAAAGATGACTTTATCATTCCATAAAGGGAATGCAGTTGGCTCAGACTCTTCAGAAGGTGTAGAAAATAGATGTTTTCTGAGGCTTTGGCAAAAAGAAAGGGTCACTTACTAATCTTTAGTGTTTGTAAATTTGGAAGAGGCGGGGTGTGAGATGGTGCTGATCCTGCATGAGAACATGCACATAAAACCAAAAACTGCATTTAAACCTGGACAATTAGCAGCTCAGGTAGTCTGCAAAGTCCTGTTAATACCCAGAATAAAGGGTGCAAAGGAAAACTGTGACATTATCTGGCTGGAGGAAAAGGAGAGGAGGATCACGCTGAACATGGCCATTTCAGAACATGAAGGTTACCGAAGTTCCCTCTTCTCTCTGGTGCTGCAAGGTTCTGAAATAACAGGTTCCAGTAGGGGGACTGGCATGCAGAAAATATTTACTTCTCCTATCCAGTAGTGCACACTTAGTGTGAAGCCAAAAACCCTGAGGACTAGAGTCCTGAAAAAGAATTGATAAAGAATTTGTCACCTTTCCAATTCTTTGTCTTCAAGAATGAAAAAGGTGACTACAATTTTTCTGTCATCTTTTCCATGCGCTCTTGCTTTTGTATGCTAGTGTTTTTTTTTTTTTTTTTCTTCCCCTATCCTTAATTAGTTGGCAATTTTTCTCAGAACCTGCTGAATAATTTGATAGGAGTGAGTCTGTTAAATAAGATGCAGGCTAAGTTTTAAGATTAC